GAATCCCAAAGTGCAAATGTGAATGGGACCGTAAAATGAAAATGAACACAATCAGTAGAAAATGCAGGTGAGGTGACGGATCCCACAGCACAGCAACATATACCATGACTACCGAGCAATATAAGGAAAATGGTATTATTAATAGTTTCTGGCACCTACCCATTGCAATGTACTGTACAGGTTGAAGCCCATCCACTGCAAAGGCTCAAGCTTCTTACCATGCCTTGTGTATGTCTGTTCATTTGAAACACATCTGCCTAATTTCTTTCCAGCAAGCTGCAAGGCAAAGCATGTGTTTTATACTGCCTGCATTGCGGTTTGCTGAGAGGCATGTGTGTTTGTTTTGTCCATATATGCATGTTTGGAACATGGCGGGGGGGAATTGACCATGCCTATAGCACCATTTTGTACTATAAAATTGGCCTAAACATGCATTACAACACCCGCACTAGGGTTGCCACCGGTCTGGTTTTCACCCGGACAGTCTGGTTTTGGAGCCTTGGGTGTCCAGCCAGCGGGTACTCGGACACAAGACACTCAGTGCCGACACCGGCACTCCTAATTTTCTGACAGATGTGGCTGCCGAGGTCCTCGGCAAGCACGATCTCTGGCAGCCGCATCTGCATGAAACCGGGGCTGCGGGTACCCTGTGCCTGTGTACAGGTGCTTGAAGCTCAGCAGAAGATCCGGGCTTCAGGCAGATGCAGCCGCCCGAGATTGCGCTTGCTGGGGACCTCGGCAACCACATCTGTGATTGCTACTCCTCCTCCTTCTCCCTGACACCATAGCCCAGACAGCACTGAGAGCTGCACAACCCACCTGAGAGCCTGCACGGGCCACCAGCCCACCTGGAGACATCAGGGCATCATCCCAGAGTATGTAGCTTCATATTATTTTATATTGCTATATAATGTTATTGCTGGGATTTGTAGTCCTCTATAGGCTGTCTTCTTACTCTCTCACCTGGCTGCCTCTCCTCGCTCTCACCTCTATATTCTAAAAAAAAAAAAATTGCACGGCGCTAGAGTGTTCGGGTTTCACTTGAAGAAAAGGTGGCAACCCTAACTAGCACACAAGTCTGAATGTGGCCTAAAACTCTACACAATACAGGGGTCTATTCAGCAGCCCTGCGAATATCTGTGAAAGTTCGTTGAATGAGAATATAGGCAAAAACTAATGATCTTAACATTTTTTTCTTTACAACTCTAATGTAATTTCAAATGTTTTGGTGTAATATTATATTATGGCCACTAGATGGAGCTAAAAGAAGTATGGGAAATAAGTATTTATTTTCAATGCTCCCCCGCGCCATCTTTTGGCCACAATGCAATATTACACCAAAACATTTGAAATTGCATTTGTAAAAAAAAGAACATTCATTTTTGCACACATTTGCACAGAACAAACATGTGCAGATATTCACAGGGTGAGAAGCCTGCATATTGTTTATAAATAGACCCATTAGTGTCCATTCAAACTATTGTGTTGTGATAATAAGTGAACTGTGGTGCAATGCATTGCTATTTGTTCTGAATGGCACCCAAACAGACTATTACTGTAGTGTGCAATGCACCCACACAGCAGCTTACCAAAACACATATGCCTTGCGTTGTAATGTGCTGCTCCTGTGAATGAGCCCTTTCAGTGGGGCAGCAATGAATATATGCAAGTCATTTTTAGCACTTGTCAATAAATACTAATACAAATATAGCATGACCAAGTGATTCTGGATGATAGACTTCAACAGTCCCGAAAATCAGAGCTATTTCCAGGGACAAACATTCAGCCCGGGCCAGTTCCTATAGCTCTCAGATATCCAGTGGAAAGGCAAAGGTGGCCCAGCATGTGATAAGCATTCAGGAGTCAATGCTGATTACTTAAAGCAAATGTACTGAGCAGAATAAGGGGCTACCAAGGCTGATCTCCTTCTGGAAATGCAAATTGCCGGGCTGTCTCTGGCTTCAGTACTCTCTAAGACACACAAGCATAAAAATCAGAAAGGTTACAGTTAGGTCGGATCTCCTAATCTGCATGCTTGTTCCAATTTATCAACACAAAAGGTACTAGAACCAGAGGGTCAGCATAATAGCCAGTGAACTAGTATTTGGTAGGTGGGTGGGGTCAACAACAGCAGCCTTTATGCCTCCTCAGCATCTTCCCTTTAATTCAGCATTTCCTCTGCCACAAGCAGGCCCAGTCTCGGAGGTACACACACAGGTAGATCATTAACATTGCCAATATACTAATGACTCCATTGTGTGTATGTGAGATCTCATGCACTGCTGACAGGGTGGGAGTTACTCATTGAATTAACCAGCCGCAGGTGTACTTACCTAGATATAAGCAACAAGGAGACAAGGAGAGGGGCTAATCTGTTCCTGCTTCTTCCTCTGGCATTAGTGTGCTGATGCTGGGTGAGTGTAAGGGGGGGGGTTCTGGATTAATATTGTAATGTCTTTGGGGTTACGCTACTCCTTGCTTGTCTGATAACATTTTGATTTGACTTTGCTGCCTTTTTCTGTATCGTACGCTGGCCACACACCTAAAGATTATCTGCAGATTTTCTGTGGTCAGGTGGAAACAGTGCAACAGATTCCTCCATCTACGCTAAACTCTGTGGATGGAGGAATCTACCATTGGGCCAAGCTTCAGGATCTTGCTAGTCAGCCCCCCTGCCTCTCAAAATACCTGACCTGCATCCAATCCCATTGTTCAGGTATTCTGAGAGCCAGCGGGGCCAACTAGTCAGATACTGAAGCTTGGCCCAGTGGGAGATTCCTCCATCCACAGTTTAGCGTAGATGGAGGAATCTGTTGCACTTTTTCCATCTGACCATAGAAAATCTGCAGATATTCTATAGGGGTATAGCCAGCTTTAGCTTCATATCCCTGAAAGAGTAATGCAGGTAATACCTAATCCTAGTCTGATGAGCCTCAATATCCTGTTTAATACCCTTTTTACATATGTCCAGGGCCAGATTAAGAGCATCACGGGCCTGGTGCTGAGGATTTTGGTGGGCTTTTTTTTAATGGAACTGGAGCTGGTCATCAGGGCCCTCTTCTCTGGGCTGTGATTTGTAGTCTCTCTCTATATGGCTTGGAGTCAGTGGTGAGCACCAAGGCCCAGTTGTACCTGCAACCCTGGTAGATCTGCCAGTGACTCCAAGCTGTAGAGAGACTAGAAATGTAAGCAATACATTATACAGCAATGCAGAATACCGCCAACTATAGAGGACTACAAATCCCAGCAATACATTACACAGAAATCCAGAATATCACCAGCTATAGAGGACTAAAATGAAGCTACATACTGTGTTGCTCCGGGTTCACGGCCTGATGACTCCAAGGCCTCAGGAGAGCTGTGTGGGGTTTAGGGAGGGCTATGCAGGCTCTCAGGAGGCTGTTCAGGTTCCTAGGTGGCCAGTGCGGGCTCTGGGGGGGTCAGAGACTGCAGCCGTAGCAGATGTGGCTCTCTGCTCGGGCACATCAGAGGGCCCTCTGATTATGCCTGAATAGAGGAATACGGTGACCCGGCCCGCGAAGCCTGGGTTGGCTCGGCCCAGTGACAGTGCTGACGCTGTCCTTCCTTCTGGAGGGTGGCTACTTTTGTTCCCCATGGTCCCTGTGTGTGTTTGTAAAGTATCGCTCCAAGCTCACTCCTGTGATGAGACTACAATCTTAAAACAAAATGGTTAACAAAACGTGATTGTAGTCCATCAGGGAGGGCAAGCTCCTCCAGCAGGAAGGACAGTGTCGCCACCAATTTGAGGATCTACAGCTGACTGATGCACAAATAAGACACATTTCTGTTAATAGTGAAGGTTCTTGAATGTATTTTTAAGATTGAACTCCTGAGTTTAGTGTCACTTTGAGTTTGGCTAAAAAATACACTAAAGCAAGGTTTACTATTTTGTATCTGTAGTTCTATAAAACGAAACTCCAGGCAAATGGCTCAATACACTGATGCCATACATATAAGGGAGCCGTTCTACCTTCTCAAGGGTTTAGTATTTATCTATTTGTGAGATTTAAAGTGCTGCCACTCAGCCCCCAGTCTAGTAGGCGTGTGAGAACTTGCCTTGAGAGTCTAAACTGTAGAATGATGTAGCAGACCCTCTTCTGACACTCTACTTTCTTATATCGCTGTAGCACAGCTGACTGGTTATTTGAGCTGCTTCTCCCTACCCCAGTCTGGGCTCTGCTGCAAGAGGCTATTCTATAGCCAATTTGGGTAACTATTCTTGCTTGCAATAAAGTGTTAATTACTAAAGGGCTGCATTAAGTTGTCTTCTATATGCTTGGAACTCTGCTTATTAGAGGAAAAATCCTATCCGCAGTTGGAAAGTCTTTTTCTGTCTAAAGTCTGATGCTGTATGAGCCGTGCGGAATGGCATATCCTGGAGGTGTCGTCGTCTGGGAGGTAGATTATCAGTATACCTTATAGGTTGGATTAAGATGCCCTCCTCAACTTTCTGCTGTGGGGGCCATGATGAGACCAAAAAAAGTGCTCTACCTAGCTTGAGTGTCTTTAGAAAAACTGGGTGGCCAACTTGTTGTGCTAGGGAAAACTGGTGGTGCACACGGCAACTGTGCTAAGCTTGCCTGGTGTGATATTCTGGTGGACACTTGGCAGCTTTACACTAAATGCCTTCAGAAAACTACTACAGTGGTCAGTTTGCTGGTGCACAGCCCTTATCTGCAGATCCATGATGTGTTTATCGGCGGGTACAGACTTGTTTATAGATATTATGGCCCAGTAAGACTAAGACATTCTGATAACAGCCAAACTACAGGCACACTTTGGATTTTCTCACCGTAACTATTCCAGCAGGCTTCAAAGTTTCAGAAAATCTAATTATGAAAGGCAACTATTAGTGTCCAATACAATGAAGTGAAGCATGCCTCTATACATGTACACTAACAAATATGGATTTCCTAGGTTGTGGCTTTTCTCTTTATCCTTTTGCATTTACACAATGGTTCTGTGCTGTATCTTGTGACAGGTTTTCAGAATGTCTGGTCGTGGTAAGAAGGTCCAGCAGAAGCCTGCAGCTGGCAAGTCCTCCAAGTCGGCTAAGGCAGGTCTCCAGTTCCCAGTAGGCCGCATCCACCGCTTCCTGAAGAAGGGAAACTATGCAGAGAGGATTGGCTCTGGAGCTGGCATCTATTTGGCAGCCATTTTGGAATACCTGTGTGCTGAGGTCCTGGAGCTGTCAGGAAATGCAGCCAGAGACAACAAGAAATCTCGCATCTTACCCAGACACATCCAACTGGCTGTAAGGAATGATGAGGAACTCGCCAAGCTGTTTGATGGTGTCACCATAGCAGATGGGGGAGTCTTGCCCAACATCCAAGCTGTGCTGTTGCCTAAGAAGACCATAAAAGGCTCTTCCTCACAAGTGTCCAAAGTTGCTGAGTCTCAGGAGTTCTGAATGAACAATTCTTTAAACTTGATGATTGCACTTGTAATTTTATGGTTTCTTTTTTAGTTTCAAAATGAGCTGATTTTATATATCCATTAAAATAGTTTTAATGACCTATTGACTGTAATAGTTTATACAATGCATTCTATTGTGCTTGGTGTGGTAATGTAAGCCATTTAAAATTATTTTGTAAGCTATCCCCTTCCTCAGAACAGGGTGGAGAGTAGGATGATTTTAGTTAATGAATCAGTTTATTTAAATCCTCCTGGCTGATGTAGAGGAAGGATGTGATTGAAGGTGTGTAGGGGTTTAAAGAGCCTCAAATATCAAGGGATTGTTTTGAGGGGGATATAATGTTGTGGTGGGAATATATACAGGTCAATAAGGCAATGGAGTAATCACATGCATTCAAATAGTCTGGCCCAAAGTATATTATCAGAACACTGTAGGCAATTCTAACTGCCCTGAGGTGCCTTGCAAGTGCTCCATTGCATACAAAGTTTTATAATATTTAAAAAATATTATATTTGGAGGGTGTGCTGTAATGGTGTGGAATCCATTGTGTGAGACTTCTAGGTGTAAACAACCATATTGATCCTGGCATACAACCTTCCCCTCCACATCAGAAATGTCATTGCTGAGATCACGTTTTGTAATATTGGTGGATTGGAAAGCACCCAACTTCTCATTCTCTCTCCTTGCCACATGTAGACAGGTGTGCATCCACATAACCTTCGCATTGCATACAGCAAGTGGAGGGACCCAATAGCTAAAACCTAGCCAGAGTCTTAATCAAATATATGCCTCAAACTGCTTGTATTCCAATCAATGACTGTCCGTACCCCAAGGGTATAGTCAGGTAGGCATGCCCATAAACAGTGATGTAATAAGGCCCCAACTGCATCATATTTTGGGCATGTCAAATATGAAAATGTTTGCTCATGTGAAGTAAATCACAAGCGTAATAAGCATTGTGCATGATTTGCTGTCTGACAGACTTTGACCGGCTTTTACAGGAATAACTTCCTTCTGTCAACTATAATCGTGCCGCTTTGTGCCAACCCTGTTAGCAGCACACATTTAATCCAGTCACAATACTAGATTTTACAATGTAAAACCACAAATGTGATCACAGTATTTAGAGTGTCATTGGCTCTCAACACCACACCCCTGACTAAGTCGTACTGTTGCCATAACGTATGTAAGGTGGAGCGAGGATCAGCTGGATGACCAGAGCTGATATTTGTATGCAATCTTAATGCTACTTACATTTATAAGCATGATCATAAAGTTTTAAAGGGTGTGCACTATGGACTTGTCTTTCTATCGAATATGCACCGTGGAGTTCAAAAGGAAGAGTATTGGGAAGCCTAGTGATATTAGCTGGATGGGTGGAACTTTTCCATACCAGAGCCGATACTTGGCATTTTCATGAGAACTACCAGGGTTGCAGCTGGGACCTGGCTCTGGCGCTCCACCACTGTCCTGAAATCATTAGTGTCTGTATTTTAGGAAAAACTGTCACATGACAGACAAAAAAAAAAAATGTATCTGTGACTACTTGGATAAGTATCAGTAATTGTAAAAAAAAAATGGTGTATATATTTTCATGCTAACAAATCCGAGATACACATGCCGGTGGTGTGGACAGGGACTTAGATTGCACACAGGTAGTCTTTATTTAAAGGACATTTCCACCTTTACGGGGCATTTAAAAAAAAAAAAACATATGCCAGCAATGTACGCAGTGATGGCGGCATATGCAGATCCTGGATAGAAATACAAAAACTTATTTTTCGTTGTCCTCTTAGGTTCCACAGTTTTTTTCTTAAATAGCTGTCAGACTGCTTTTATACAGTGGAAACCACAATGTAGAGCGTGGGAAAACTCCTTTTCCCACAATGCGGTGCTTCTCTCGTGCACATGCTTCATTAATATTCATAGTGGTACCTCCCTCTGGGCAGTGCAGAGTGACCGGGAGATGTGACTACAGTTGGATTATTGTCAGTGATTGATAAAGAAATCCGTCATATTTTGTCTAAAGTAATCGCTCAGAACAAAATATAACGGATTTAGCAATCACAACAATCCTTCAACTGTAGTTACAGCTAAAATAGAAGCGATACGCCATGCGCACATCTTCGGTGGTGGGGGTTCACATTGAGGAGCCTGGACTTGGGGGAGCAGAGAGTAAATGTGGCCCTGGAGAGATCTGAGCGAGACACACAGAACACAGTGCCAGAGAGACGCAACAAGTGCAGGAGATCTTGTTCATGAGGAGGGGTTAGCAGAGCAGATAGGAATCAGCTGATTGCAGTTTACAGATAACAATCCAAAAAAAAGAGCTTATACTGTGTGAATGGGAACATGTAACAAATAAAAAAAAATAATAATAGGTGTTATCCCACTTTGGCTGTGAAAGTGGAAATACACTTTGAAGAACCTTTTTTAAATCTTTAGCTCCAGCCTGGGAGTGGTGAAGAAACATTCCCTAGTGAATGAAGTTGCAAAACACCTCATATGCACTTACTTTTTCCCTCTCCTATCAGCCTGCATGGCATAGAGAAGCACAGAGAGCAAATGATGACATCTCTGGGTCTAAAACAAGCTATCTAATGAAAACAAAGAAATTTTATTGAAAAATGTCATTAGCATGCCAACGAAGGGTAGTGGGAGGAACCAGAGAAGGCAAAAATAGAAGCAAATATAAACTTCAGCTTTAAGAGCTGTATTCAACGCTTCCAAGCAGGAGCTGTAGTGTGATTTAAAGTAAAACTATTATCGCTTTCATTTTTTATTTAAATATACATGACAAACTAATCCGTTACATAGACAATGATCTCAACCATTATTCTTTTAAAAACCTCTTTTTGCCCAGTGTAAATGTTGAAGTTATGTACATGGGGAGAACCTTATTTGCTCGTTACATATGCAGGCTCTGCTTCCTGCGTTGCAGCACTGCACCATGGGTTTGCTTCACTGCTTCCTCTCACACTAACAGGGCTATTCACAAAAGGGTGACGAGTTTGGAGAAGACAGGAGAAGTGAACAATCTAAAAGAAAAAAAACAATTCACCTATTCAGCCATGTTGTCCTAGATCAGTGGTGGCGAACCTTGGCACTCCAGCTGTGCCAAAACTACAAATCCCAACATGTATCTGCACCTGGGAGTTATGTCTGTGGCTGTCAGAGCCTTGCAATGCCTCATGGGACTTGTAGTTCCAAAACAGCTGGAGTGCCAAGGTTTGCCATCACTGTCCTAGATTGTTCACTTCTCCTGCCTTCTCCAAACTCTTCACCCTTTCGTGAATAACCCCCGTCAGTCTAAGCTCAGCCAACCAACTGAAAACAATGCACTCCCTTTATGATTGATGTCTTATAAAGAGAAATGTGTTGGCTGCCACTGCTGAAGCCTGTCTGAAAATACTAGCTGCACGGTATACTTGTTCCTGTACTGCAATGAAGAGGGTCAGCATGACAATCAGGCGACTAACATTTTCAGAAGCAATGCCTCTTAGGGCAGGTTTTCTAGAAGTAGACTTCATACTAATATTTCAAACAGAGATTTAAAAGAAATAAATAAATGTCTGTGAGATCATCTTGCGGTGGGTTACTGCATTTTTCACATCACTGCCCCCTTTTTACATAAGCTCCACCATAGTTGCCAGGAAGCCCAAAATATCTGGATCTGCATGCTATGAAATAATCCTTCACCCTTATTGTATATAGGCCAGGGCTGCGGACGGGTCTTTCTAACAAACAAATAAAATGAACTAAGGTTCTTCTGATCAGAATGGAATGTAAAGCACGTGCATGCTAAGTATCTATTTATTTTCAAAGCAGATAACTTAAAAAAAAATTATAGTTACTTTTTACTACTAAAAAGGAAGAAATTAGCCTTTTGTGATCACATATGTACAAGGAAATCATGACAGGATTGAACTGAAGCAATCAACGGGAAAATGAAACTGTAAAAAGTACCAGACACATACATATAAAAAAAAAAGAAAAAGAAAATAGCTCACACAGTAACCATCCATTCCCAGACAAAATTGAAAGAAACACAATGCGGCAGTTTTATTTGCACAGCCAACTGTGTCCTCCTGTTCTCATGCAAAAAGGTGCCTTTATTGTTCCCTCGCGGAGTCACAGAGGATGAGGTGGTGCAGTATCCCGGACACCCAGTCCCACAATACCAAGAACACCTAACAGAAGGGATGAATGACAACACCACAAGCAGAGAAACAAGGGTCTGCCATTCCACGTTTTTGGATGTGTGCCTCTCCTTATAGGAAAGACTTTTCTTCAAGGACACAAACTTCTCAGCTATCGCTTGCTCATCAGCTGGGAGTCCATTTTACAGTGTTGGTGGCTTCAAGCCGTACTTTCTGGCGACCTCTGTCTGGGCATATGCGGCATCACATAGTGAGTAAAGGTGGGCCATTTCCATTTCAGATTTAGCCAGGTTAATGGCTTTATTGAACATTTCAATGGCTCTGTCCAGATTTCCCCTGAAACAGTGAAGGAAGAGTATGAGGAGTTTTGTGCCAAGTTACTAGAGTTAATGATTATCAAGTGACCCCCTTATTTCAAGCACCCACAACATATGTACATTGGTTGCCAATATCCACCAAGTAAAGCGCTAGAAAGAAGAGAATCCAAACAAAGAACCAACATTATCTTCAGCTGCGGCATTTTCTAGGTGAACATGGTGCTCTCTAGCATTTGGCCATGAGGCAGGCTATGTGGCCATTGCTAAATACCGGTTTTGTTTTTTTTAATAGGAAGCCTGGATCAGCTTAAAAATACAAGCTTGCATGAACAAACCCCCGATATGTCACAATATACAGCAACAGCATAAACTTTTCAAGCTGTCGAACTCCAGTCAGGTGTCCTTACCTAGGCAGGAATTCTTAAACTGGAGGTGCCATTGGAGTGTGTGTTAAAAGGAGAACTATGGGGCTAGTGCTTTTCCCCATAGTTCTCCTTAGGGTAACGAGAGGACACAAACTAGCACCCTCCGTGACCCAAAGCTCAGTATACCGCGAGCTACAGCTCGCGGTATACTGAGACGCCGCAGCCGGAACGGATCCCGACAATTCTGTCTGGATCCACCCAGCTGCGTGAGTGACAGCTGGCTCTGCCTATCTAGAGGCAGAGCCAGATGTACCCACCCCCTCCCCCATCCATTCCACCAGTCAGCGCTGGAGGATCGGACAGGGGAGAATCCCTGCAGGGCGCCGTGACAGACACGGCTCTCTGCACGGATAGATCGAGAAGTGAGCGAGCTCCGGTATGTGTTCGCTCACTTCCCGATCTACTGAGACGACCGGTGACAGCTTCATTGTCACAGGTCGGCTCAGATTATGAGGCTGAGTGAAAATCACTCGCCTAATAATTCTCCTTTAACATGTGGTCACCCCCTCAGCACCTTATATGAACTATTTAAACTTTAAGCACAGACATCTGATCAGTTCTGTGGCACTGGAGGGGTACACATGAAGTTTACATGACCAAGTACAGGTAGGGCGGGGAGGAATGAAAAGTTCAACTGTTTCCAAAGGTGGCATGACAGAAAATGTTTAAGAAACATTGAAATACAGAAAAAACAAGATTGTTGCGGTGAGTGCCGGATTTAACTACTGCGGTCACTTACCTCTGAACTTCTATTGTCCCCATGGTCTCGTAGGCAAAGTCACATTTGTTGTCTATTTCAATGGCTTTGCCGATGAGGTCTAGCCCTTTATCTAGATCTTGCTTCCACTGAAGCTGAAGTAAACTGTATGGAACAGAAGTATATGTTTTATTGAACATTTAAAATGATAAAATACCCGCTAGTCAGAATGACAGATTTGAAACCACAGAGTACAGTAATTGCCGGGCAAATTTTGATTGAATACTGATGTAAGGGTTCTTCTAGTCTGAACATTTTTTTTTTTAAAGCTAATCATGCTTTGATCTCAGGACGGTTCTGTGCCAACACCAGAAATACATATATTTAAAAAAGGACAACCTGCATGAAACTGAAATTACTGGTTTCAAACACTTACGGATTTCATTTCCTTTAGGCATATTCAGATTTTTTTAGGGGTTTCTCCCAACCGGAGATTCCATCTCTGCCTCCCAGGTGATGGGAGTCTAAACCCCTTATTGTGGGCAGTAAGGAGTCTCATATGTATTGCTTAACCCTCCCTACTGTGACATTATTTCGGCACATCCTGCAGGGAGTATAAGATTCTATTTTGAAAACTTCTACAGATGGACAAAGTTGGGAACTTATTTGTAGTGTTGTCACTGCAACGTATCCAAGGTAAAAAGAATTGGTAATGATTCCATTTTCTTCACACATCAATCAGCATATTTTCATGTTCAGTTCCTAATTCTATCCCTAAATGGGGATGGCCATGTCTGTTTTTTACATATACAAGCTCTGCTTTCCAGCTGAATTCTGCTGCATTTATTTTAATCTAAGTCTACTAGACATGATCTGATAGAAAAAAAAACCCGCCGTGACTGCAATGAACTAACCACAAAGCTCTTGGTAGTCAGAGATCATATACACTTCTTTCTAGGGTTTAGGCCATAAGGATGAGTGGCCATTTGGAATGAATGGCAAGTTTGAGGCACATTTGACTCAACAAGGTATCATGATTTAGTAATGCCAACATGTTGCCTACCGATCTATATAAAGTGAGAATATATTGGTAGGCCCCCTTTAACAACTGCTGACTTCCTAATAAATCTACAGGCAACAGGATTGTGTATTAACTTTTTATAGTCTGTCACCTGTTTTTGTAAGTACAATACTTTCAGATATGTAATTATGCCAATGTTTTGCTGAGTCAATAACACGGGAAGCTATATTCCTGAAATGTTGAATGTAAAAACTATGTTGATCAGTTTATTATTGTTATGTATCCAATACAATCTGCAAATAGAGTGATGAAATTAGGTTTTCTACAGTGTCATCCTATGGGATGGATTTACTGATAAAACCTGCAGGCACTGGGCTCTCTGCATACAGAACTAAAGAAAGCATTTGGCCCCCTTTCAAATAGATATGATCCTTAATACATATCAGGCATGAAAACAAATGTAACAGTTAACTTCCATTAGGACACTTATGTAGAAGTAAAATAAAAAAAGTCCTGATGAGAAGGCACTTACCCTTTGTGAACATATGTTGTGGCATTGTCTGGTTCTAGCTCTATGCACTGGTCATACATCTCATCAGCCTTTCCAAACTGCTGCTGATCTGTTAGCGCCTGCAGATAAGAGACTGCCAGGGATTAGCAGACTGATCAGGTGATATTCAACACAAATGTATAGTTATTGTTTCTTTTATGATAAACTGTCATGTTTAACATTTCCAAGGGTGAGACTCATAAGGCACAGAGGCAAGATGTAAAAATATTCAAAAGCAAATGAGAAGATAAAAAAAGAGTGGCAGTATCCAGGGAAACGGAATCTCTTGTATGATCCATGCTTTGACAAAGATGTCAGTCAGTAGGATAGAGCCTGACAACCACCTCCTTCCAAGCATATGCACGACTGAAGACAAAAGATGCACCAAAAATCTGTATAATCCCCGCTACATGAAAGCACTGAGGGCTCCCCAGATATTACAGGGATATCACAGAATGAGCAATACACTTGATGGCGAAAACTCTGTGGACACCAGACAACCACATCTACCTATATGGTTGAAAGTATGTGAACACCCCCCCAAATTCCAGTCAACTGTATTGTTAATCTTATAGCATACAAAAACATTTTAGACAATTGTGCGCTGCCAACCCCGTGACAACAGTTTGGGAAAGTTTGTATAACATAACATGCACAAAGCCAATTACCTGTATAAAGTATTTTTGTTACATGACTCCACAGTGTACAGATTACACGTTTCTCCTAAATGTGTCATACTTTTCTAACAGTTCCATTTCATCTTGCATTTTAGGTGAAATGCAGAGACTGATTTCCTGCCATCTCATGGAGAAACCACTAAACAGAGCAGGACACTAATCATGCATCGTTTTCTCTCTGGTGGATTCACTAAATATCCAACGTACTCAGGACAATCATTTAGAAGGCTTGGCTTCTAAGCCTGGTTCAATGTATCACAGGGAGGGTGGTGGTGGGGCTGTGTGGAGGTGGTACATGCTGAATAGTTCATTTTGCTAATAGTGTATTATAGTGAGGGCAGAGGTGGTACATGATGAATGGTAATCCACCTAGCAATATAGAATCTCTTGCCTGCTTCAGCGGTGATGTCTGTGCATGTGGTCAGAGGTCTGTAGACCTTATGAGAGGGTCCCACTGTTGCAGGAAAAATGAAATTCTAAAGTTGAGAGAAACATAGCCAGGATACATGGCCATCTCACCAAACACCACCTGTGACTTTCACTTTTGGATAGACTTATTTATTCCTTTAACTGATTTCAAGTGAAACTCTATCCACTGCAGAGACTGTATATTTGTACCTGCAAACATATAGTGAAATGCTATCACACTATTATTATTGGGGAAGGGTGTCGAGCAGATAGTTTATCCAGAAGCTAAAAGAAACTTTCCCTTACTGTTCATGGGAGTGCCTGTTAGAGACAAGAGCAGCTACTGACATGCCCGCTGCTTTCCTTCAAATTACACTCACAGAGCCCCTCCGCCCCCCTGATCAGCTCCATTGCCATGTCTGCAACAAGGGACAGCATGGCAGGACTCATCATCTACAGAATAACGATTACATGGAGGTAGTTTACATGAGGCTTACATTTCTCTATACAATGATAATTCTGCACAGATAGAAAACTAGAAAGAAACAAAAAAAGTACAATGGAATGTACCTGGGCATACAGAGCATAACCTTCTGCACATTTTGGAAATTTCTTAATGACATCTTCAAAGCCTTTCATGGCGGATTTGATCTGAGAAATACAATGAACTACTGTAGAAGTTATTTACCAAGCATCTTAGTAGGGCTGGGCTTACAGCTTTGCACTGTAGGGAGGTATGCATTACCGCAACATGTGAAAAGGTGCGTTAGTGTGCTATGATGCCATTCCTTCTTGATGACACCCAACATACCTTGCCAATGTGTGTGTTTTAGTGCATCAATGTACATGGCATCATACTGTGCATTGTGGTGCGCTGCCTTTCCCAAAAAAAAGTACTCACATTTTTGGAGTGTTTTAGCGCATTAGAACGCAACACATGTAAACGTGTGATATAACGCACATGTGTTAAATAAATCACAAACACTGTGAACCCAGGCTAAAAGACAATATCACACAACATGCCATAGAATAAATCTATCAAGAATGGAAAGTATGTAAAGTGATATTTTAAAAAATTCAACTTGTGGCAGATTCAAGCACCCTGAAATCCAGGATACTTAGTCACGGACATGTTCCTTTCTCAGGCTGTACTAGTGGTACAATGAATCACCTCAAGTCGACATTTTTACATATTACAACCATTTTGGGTTGTTCAGGAACCTACTGAAAGGTATTGTTGGCTCTGAATGGTACCTGCATGTCATTCACATTGCTTTTCTACATACTTTTCACCAGAGATGTAAGGACCAGGGAGTGATGTAGAGAATTATTAGCATTTTTTATATGACAAAACACTATGCAGTTTAGATGCACTACATCAACAGTGTAATACAATGTATTGCATTTACACCCACTTCAGACATCTCACCTGATCCCTGCTCCCCCAGAGGTCAGGTGGACTGGACCTCTGTGTCCTCACATCTAATGCAGGTCTATGGCACCTGCATTAGATGTGATGACGCCAATGGGTCCCTAGACGACTGGGAAAACGGGGCTGCGATGATTGGTCTAGCATTCCAGAGGGAGACAGTGGAAGTGGGGATCAGGTAAGTCAAAGTGCTTTATTCCAGTCCCCATAGACATTAACAAGCACTTAACTACCCCCGCACTGCAAGGTACATTTTTGGTTTGCCCAGAAATGGGCTTTCAACGCCTTTCACTTCATCAAAATACATAGAAAAAGCCGTGATCGGCTAATATGGCGTGGCTCCTGAGTAATTTAGTTCCAAGAATCTTCAGGACTTACTAGTGCAAAGCATTTTTGTGCTTGAGCCAGAGCAGAATCCGGCCGCAACCTTATACATTCATCAAAATCTGCTACGGCTTCATCCACTTGGTCTAGCAGGATTTTTAGCTGCAAAGGAAGAAAGGCAGTTAAGAATTTCAAACGCAGCCACATTAAAGCAGAACTCCAGGCAAAAAGTTATATACACAGATGGAATATATAAAATGGGGAGGATTTGAGATTCTGTGCAGCCAGATTTGTGAACCAGAAAAGCAAACATGGAAGCTGCTTATAGCTCTTTAAAACTAGCACCTAGGTGTCAGTTGCTTTTTTGGATTTGGTGCAGACACTCACTATAAGCCTTCAACTGCCTTGTTAAGGTAACGTCTGGGCTTCGGATGTGCTGCTCTACCTTTTAGGGAGATGGAGCTGCCTCCAGGTGAACCCCGTTCTCCGTTTGTGTATTGCTATATACAGTTTGTCGCAAAGAAGAGAAGCTCAGACAGTGTAGAATTAGGGACCACACTTATCAGAGGGGCCTTGACACGGCAGTGACTTCCCCATATATTTGCAGATGTATGCAAGCAAACCTGATTATTTTGGATTTAAGATGCCCTGTTCGAAAGCATGCTTGGGACCCTTACTGTACAGGCTTGTGAACCAGGATTTACCCAAACAGCACAGCTTGCCCTTAGACTTCCCTGAAATTTACACTGCAGACAAGCAAGTGGTCGAACACCCACCCCAGCCTGTGACTGGACAATGTAGAACTGAAGCACCCTCTGGTACCTCCTTTGGTAAGCATGTTCACTGTGTTAGACTAACAGCATTATACAATATAATAGTGCCCCAAGTGGCTCCCTCTCCTAGCTGCTGTACAGGAGCTAACAGGAGCCTTTTACAAAGACAGAATTGGGTATCTATGGTATAAAGATTTAAATATGAACAGATTATCACACACAGAATGCATGGTTTCTCACCTGTCCTCTATGATGATAAACATCAGCGTTTTGGGGGTCGATGTCAGCAGCCATGTTGAAGTCTTGAGTTGATAGGAGGGGTTGCTGTTGCTGCATGTACATGCTCCCTCGTTTGATCAGGGCATTTGCTCTTAACTAGAAAAAAGCAAAAAGAACAGTTAGAAAGAATTCTGTACTTGCATAAGGTGCTAACTGGCAGTGTTCACATACAAAATTCCCAAACATTTACTCTGGGCAGATATATCTATCTATCTATAGATAGATATATATACACACACACACACACACACACACACACACACGCTTACACGTTCAGCAACTCTGCCTTTAAATGTCAAGCAACAGAACATGTATATTTAAAGTAAATATTTTAGATCAACTCAATTTTCTTATAGTTTGTCAGCAGCTAAAGTGCCCGCATCCACTTTCACCATGCATACGCGAAGCTCCGTCTCTTGTGTAGCCATGCTCTTTGTAAGGACTTCTCTGTCAAAACACAAATTTAAAGCAAACCTGTGCAGTGCACTAATACCCTGTTTGCCCAAAAATAAGACTTACCCCGAAATTAAGACCTGGTACTGTTTTTGGTAATTGCTAAAATATAAGACCTACTCCGAAAATAAGACCTAGTGTGTTTTTTTGAGCCAAAAAAAATAAGATAGTGTCTTATTTTCAGGGAAACACGGTAGGTTTATCTTAGGGCCTCCCTCCCCAGCAGCACATAACAGACACTTGCTCCTCAGCTATTCCGCTCAGCTAATGGAAGTAGAAAAACCTCTGGTATTATTGGGTTTTAGGGGAACATGCATCTCACTTCCCTTACTCTTATAGGACATAACTGCTCACTGATGACTGGCTAAACTCCATCCAATTAGGATTAGAGAGATTCCTCAGCCCTTGGTAAATCCAGTGATTTAAATCACAGGTACACTTTGAAGCAGGGGTAGCCAAACTGAGGCCCTCCAGCTGTGGTGAAACTACAAATCCCATCATGCATCTCTCTCCGGGAGTCATGTTTGTGGTTGAGAGAATCTTGCAATGCCTCATGGGATTTGTAGTTTCACCACAGCTGGAGGGCTGGAGTTTGGCTACCCCCTCTTTAACCAGTTGACATCCGCGGTGTTAAACCCCCTTCCCATCCAGGCCATTTTTCAGTATTCAGCGCTGCGATACTTTGACTGACATTTATTCCGTCATGCAGCGCTGTACTGAAATGAATTTTATACCCTTTTTTGGGGACAGATAGAGCTTTCTTTTGGTGGTATTTATTCACCACTGGGGGTTTTATTTTTGACTATATTAAAGGAAAAATTACTGAAATTTTTTTAAAACAAACAGTTTCCCCTATATTAAATGATAAAACATTTATTATTACCCAATTTTTTGGTAAAATATAAAAGATGGGGTCACGTCGGGTAAAAAGACACCAAACATGTCAAGCCTTAAAATTGCGTGC